AGTTGTTGATTCTTTCAAGTGTTTCACGTGCAGTTTGGTTTTTGTTCATGAACTCTCTGCCTACCCCTATGTCTTCAAGGTTTTTACCTACTCTCTCTTCCAATAGACTTAATGTTTCTGTTTTAATATTGAGATCTGTGAACCATTTTGACTTGAGTTTGGTGGATGGTGATAGACTTGGGTCTATTTTCAGTCTTTGGCAGGTAGCTAAGCCAATTTTTCCAGCACCATTTAAAGAGAGATGCTATCTTTCCTCCAGCAAGTTGGTTTGACCCCTTTATCAAAGATTACGTGGCTGAGTGTGTTTTTGGTTGTGGCCATTTCTTCCAGTCTGTTCCATTGATCCTCAGTTCTGTTTTTCAGCCAGTACCAGGTTGATTTTATGACAGTAGCTTTGTGGTATAATTTCAGGTCAGGGATTGTGATTCCACCTGACTTATCCTTGTTGCCCAGGACTGCTTTTGCTATTCTGGGTCCCTTCTGGTTCCAGATGAATTTAAAGCATGTTTTCTTGAGATCTGTGAGGTATGCTAATGGTAGTTTAATGGAAATTGCATTGAATCTGTACAGCAGTTTTGGGAGAATGGCCATTTTCCCAATGTTGGTTCTTCCTATCCATGAGCAAGGAATATTTTTCCATTTATGGAAATCTTCTTCAATCTCTTTTTTCAGAGTACTTTAGTTTTCACTGAATAGATCTTTGACTTCTTTTGTTAGATTGATTGCTACATATTTCAATTCCTTGGATGTTATTGTGAAAGGTATGGTTTCTTTAATTTCTCTCTCAGTCTGTTTGTTGTTTGTGTATAGGAATGCTATCAATTTCTGTGAGTTGACTTTGTATCCAGCTACACTGCTGAATTTGTCAATTAATTCAAGGAGTCTTCTTGTGGAGTTTTTGGGTTCTTCCATGTAAAGTATCACGTCATCTGCAAATACTGATAGTTTTACTTCTTTCTTTCCTATTTTTATTCCTTTTATTTCTCTCTCTTGTCTAATTGCTCTGGGTAGTGGTTCCACAACTATATTGAAGAGGAGTGGTGGCAGCGGACATCCTTGTCTTGTTCCCAATTTTAAAGTAAAAGCTTGCAGTTTTTGTCCATTGAGAATGATGTTGGCTGGTGGATTGTCATAAATGGCTTTGATGAGATTAAGATAAAGACCATCTATTCCTATTTTCTCTAGAGTTTTTATCATAAATGCATGTTGGACTTGTTGAAAGCTTTTTCTGCATCTGTTGAGATGGTCATGTGGTTCTTGTCTTTGGCTCCATTGACATGGCATATAATATTTATAGATTTGCAAATACTGAACCAACCCTGCATTCTTGGAATGAATCTGACTTGGTCGTGAAGTATGATTTTCTTGATAACCTGCTGCATTCTACTTGCTTGTATCTTATTGAGTATCTTTGCATCTATATTCATTAGGGAGATTGGTCTGTAGTTCTCTTTCTTGGTTGGCTCTTTCTCTGGTTTTGGTGTCAGTATGATGCTTGCCTCCAGAAATGAGTTAGGGAGAACTGCTTCCTTTTCAATTTCATTGAAGAGTTTGAGGAGTGTTGGTATTAAATCTTCTCTGAATTTCTTGTAAAATGCTGGTGTGAATCCATCAGGGCCTGGGCTTTTCTATCTCAGTAGGTTCAACAATTTTATATCTCAGTAGGTTCAACAATTTTATATCTTCTTGTCTCAACCTTGGTAATTTATACATATCTAGGAATTTGTCCATTCCTTCTGAGGTTTCTATCCTACGGGAGTAAAGATTTTCAAAGTAGGTATTAATGATCTTCTGAATTTCTGTGGAATCTGTAGTAATTTCATCCTTTTCATTCCTTATTGCATGAATCTGAGTTCTTTCTTTCCTTTTCTTGATAAGGTTGGGTAGGGGTTTATCAATTTTATTTATTCTTTCAAAGAACCAGCTCTTT